GAGAAAGAAAGAGAGAGAGAGAGAGAGAGAGAGAGAGAGAGAGAGAGAGAGAGAGAGAGAGACGGGAGAGGGATGAAGTGGTATGATGCTATATGACGGCGTTCGTTTGCGGTTAATTAAGATTTAACTATTCCCACAGCACATCCCCGTGTTGAAGCCGCTCGATGAGAGCGCGTCTTTCACGCCCTTGCTTAAATCCAGAAAGCTGCGCTTTATGCGTCGTTGTTAATTATGCACGCTCGGCGAAATCCGTTGTCCCCCCAATCCCCAGATTGGCCCGCAAAGTTTGTTCCCAAAGTAGCGACGTGCTCGAGTGACGTGCACGTGACTGGATGCGAGACTTACAATGTAAGGGAAACTATAAAAAGTGTATCCCTTTTTTCCGCTTGTCATGTACGCGAACTCGGGCAGACAGACAGGCAGGCAGGCAGGCAGGCAGGCTGCAACAAGAATCGCGGTTAAGATTTGAGCGCGCACGTATACCGGAGGTCTTAAAAGGTCTTTTACCTTTTGACACCCGAAGAAATAGTCTTTGGGAATTTTATTTTTGGAAAAATCCTGCAACGTATCGATTAGTAACTATACATGTTTACTATAGGAATGCACAGGAATATTAAGAATGTTGTTTGGAAATGTTCTACCTAAAACTTTAAATGCGTTTTTCTCGAAACTGTCCTTTCACACTTGGCGTGCAAAATTTTTCAGACTATTGAACAAATTGATTTAAAACTTGCCACATATCTTCAGTACACGTATATGAAAAAGTATATATCTCAGATTTTATGAAATGTTAGGATTTAATGTTTTCCTGTTATGTGAAAAGTTACTTTTCTTTCGGCGAGAGAATCTCAACTTTGCAGTTGTTGCAAAGTTAGCATGTTAATTTGCTAATTTACCATAATTTTTCGTAAAATTCAAGGTATATGCTCCAGATACGAGTTCTTTCGAAAAATATTCTTGTATAAAGCCTATTTTCTCGGATGTCTACAGATTATATGTTATAAAGTTTATAAAGAAAATGTACGGATAAAAAAATTACAGAAAGAAATAAATCAAAAGGAAGCCATTCGCGTTCTAAAAAGAGTCTAAATTGCGACGGTTTTAATATTAAGAGGATACATAATGCAGCCTTCATATTTTGCAATGTTTTATTTATTTAGTTATATAGAATTGCAAATGTAAATGCTTATACAGAGTGAAAGTACAAATGCCAATTAATAGCAGAAAGTATTCCATTTTATAAAACATTTTATATAACATTTTATAAAACATTTTGAATATCCATTTATTTGCAAAATTTTTTTATATCGCATTATTCGGATAATTTTTACCAAGCCATATATTGACATTTGTACTTTCACTCTGCGTAAGCATTTGCGATTTCGTACAACTAAATAGGAAAACCGTGCAAAATATGAAGCTGCATTAATTGGTTTCCAGTTTGCCTTTAACGCGCGCGCTGAAGAGAGAGAAAGGGAACCGAGACGCGATCGCGATTGCACATACACACATACACACACACGAACGAAATGAGCAGTCGGGGACTCCCGCCGTCGCGGCGGAATGCAAGAATTTATGATACGCGGCGGCGATCTTTGCGAATCCCGATTTCTAATTAGCGCTCATTACACGCTCCGGTAGGCTCGACCGAGTCCGTTATTCTGGTCGGCGATCGACGTCGAAACGGCGAGCTCGATGTCTCGCTAATTGCACGGCGCGAACGACCGAAACGCGGACTCGCGCGGACGTAGACGCAACAAGGAAGACGTCGATTATCGGCGTTACAAATCACGCAGTCGTTGGCTCGCACGATACCCCGCCCTGGTTCCCTCGCGGGACAGGCAACGGAGCAACGCGATATCTACCTCTCCTCACCTGAGTTACTACGCAATCTCGGCAGGCAACCTCGCGACGTGGCGCGCTCACCTTGGCCGTTACCCGCGCCTCTTCTCGTCCTTTTAATCACGGGCGATAAACAAACCGCGAGAAGAGCAGAAGGATATCGGCCGCGCAAGAAACCGCCGGTGCATCCGGCGAAATCCCGGCAAAAAGCCGCCGAGGACACGCGGAATAACATCCACGAATAGCGGCGGCGGCGGCGGCGGCTGTTTCGCCGACCGATGTGTTAACGGCAGGAATGCGGTCCGATTTTTGCGCTGTTCGCGCTCGGCTGGCGACTGACTCCGGTGCACGCATACGCGCGCATAAGCACCCAGCGTTGACGTGCGTCGGCTCTCTTGTTGTCGAGCAGTCGCCTCGCACAAGGTAGAAATACCGCCTCCTTTTTCCACGCGAACCGGCCGCCTTCCGTCCGTTTCGAGTCCTGATACGGTGATATCGAGCGGGTCGAAGGGTCGCCGCGATTATTTCGATTTCTAATGTTGTTTCCGTTCGAGAAAGCCGCCTGACGGGCTCGCACCTGCGATATATTTCATTTGCGCGCCCGCCGCCAGGCAAGATGTGCGTGCGCGTGTATGTGTGTGCGTGTGTGTAGGTTTGTTCGAGTTGCTTGTACTTTTCACACTTTTACACCTAATGCCCATTGCACACTAGTGCACTCCAAACAACACAAATTTTCCAAAATATATTCTGAAGACGTTTTCAGGACGTTATTAGGATATTCTTAGGACGTCCTTTGAAAGTGTAAATTGTCTGAAAATAGCTAATATTCAATAAGTTTATTCACATTAGTTGAATTTTTTACACTTTTACACTTAGTACATAAATTCTTTAGAGGTTCTAAAAATGGCGTCATGTTTACTGTTTGTGTTACGAGTATAAATGCAATTCTGATACACTTTTCACTCTTGCTTGGGATCAAATGTAAAAAGTGTATCAGAATTGCATTTACACTCGTAACACGAACGGAAAATATGACGCCATTTTTAGAATCTCTAAAGAATTAATGTGCACTAAGTGTGAAAGTGTAAAAAGTTCAATTAATGCGAATAAACTTATTGGATATTAGCTATTTTCAGACAGCTCACATCTTCAAAGGACGTCCTAAAAATATTCTGATGACATCCCTCCGTCCTAAAAGCGTCTTCAGAATGTATTTTAGAAAATTTGTATTGTATGAGGTGCACTAGTATGCAGCGGGCATTAGATGTAAAAGTATAAATAGTACAAGCAACTCGAACAAACCTTGTGTGCGCGCGCGTCTGTGTGGATATCGATCGCGGGAAACGAATTGAATTATTTCTAAATCGCGGGAGACACAAGATCTCGTGATATTAATCGATTCGTTTCGTTCGCCGGGCACATTCTAGTTCCCGAGTTAATTGCGTTGTGTTCTCTGCCTTGCAGGAAACATCAGGACCAGGGTGGTGCTCGACGTCGAGACGAAGAAGGGGTATTGGTTGACGGTTTACGCCCAAGATCACGGAGTGGTTCCGCAGAGCTCGAGTCTACAAGTAAGTTTCGGCAATCAGACTTCGTAGATTGACGAGGTTTCCGGAAAAACAAGCGCCTTCGAAGTATACACGAACCAACACTGTCACTTACAACCAGCGTGAACTATTCAGCCGCGAGAGCGCGCCCAATTGAACTTCGCGCATTTCTCGCGACCGACACGTAGATTTCGTTTCGTGTCTCGGGCGTTTTCGCGGACGTGGAGCCGACAAGGAGCCGCGTCTGCGGTTGAGGTGCGGGTTGCTTAAAACAGGCTTATATACGATTACGTGCCCAGAAGCTACAAACCAGCGTCGGCGATTGTTTTCTCTTTTTTCACGAGCGCAAATAAATCGCGTGCGCGCGCGCGCGCGCGCTCGCGACGGACGTTTTATTTAGTGAATGATTCATAGACCGCTCTCGTGCCGCAGGTCTACGTCGAGGTGCTGGACGAGAATGATAACACGCCGCTGACCGAACTCCCGGTTTACTATCCCTCCGTGCCGGAGAATTCACCCGCCGGCGTGAGCGTCCTGCAGATCCGCGCCTTTGATCGCGACGCCTCGCCCCAACGATTCGTCTTCTCCATCAGCAGCGGCAATCCGGAGGGTTATTTTCTCATCAACTCCACCACCGGTAAGTTCCGAGCTCGCGCTCGCGGCGCGGCGTATCGTGTCGGCGAAATAATACGGCCTCACGGGAAAGAGAGAAAGAGGGAGGGAGAGAGAAAGGGGGAGAGAGAAAGAGAGGAGAGAGAGAGAAAGACAGAGGATCAGGATGACGGGTCTTTAGCCGCACCCGCGCCGGTAATGAGGTCAATTTTGCCGGACGAGAGTTTTAATAGATCCGTTACGCGGAACCGGGAGATTGGCTCCTTCCGTGAAAAGAGTTTCAGTCGAGTCTAGCCGTTCGTTAGCCGAGCGAATCGGAAGATCGAAATATTGATTCTTCAGTGAGTGATCCGATATTACAGCCTCGGCTCAACATGAGGCGTTTCCCTGCTAGTAACGGGAATCCGATTTAGGAAGACGATGTATTTTGTATAATCAGCTCTGTTCTGATGTCATTGATGATCAAGCAACAGAGTATTCATATGTGTCTGACGCAACGCACACGTCCGCTCATGTGTATAGGTACGACTCATCAAACTGAACGGAAAAATGTACTATTTTGCTAACAATCACGATTATTTTTAAGATATTAACCCTTCAAATAGTAACCATGGTTATTTGTTTCCGGGACATTCTAGAAAAAAATGCTCGTTCCTCAGAGTAGTCTTGTTTAAAAATTATTAAAAGAAAAATATTTAGCAAAATTTATTTTTCATAGGAGCTATGTGGTCTTGAATTAGAAGAAAATTTCTAAAGGAACTAAACTAAAAAAATAGGAAAAGAACAAAAGAATTTTTAATAATTTCGGGGATTTTTTGAAGCACTCTCAAAGGGAAGAAAAATCGAGGGTGACCTTAATTGCCATTCCAAAGATTATGCTGTCGATGACAATTAGGTTAAAATTAAAAATTAGTAAAAGAGTGCGTGTGATGTGATGGAACGAGTTTAGCTTTTTTTATTCAACATGTTTGAATCCATTGACAATCTCTTGGCGGTGGGCGTAATGCTGGACTATTTTAATGCACGCCTGTCCAACACAGCGCTGCGTCATGAAAAATCGGTGAAAAATCACTGAAATTCGAGCGACTCGGTGGTCACTATATTTTTCGAGTGAAATTTCACTCCCAGAAATTAAGAGAGTGTGATTACCGAATGAAGAGAATGCATGACTGACGGTCGAGTTAAAGTGGACGCATAATAGAAAACACTAAATTTCTTTATTTTTTTCTAGCAACATGTCTTCTCGCCAGAACTTAATAGAGCAACCGCGATATAGAAGCGTCCAAAGATACGTTGTTCTTGCCGTGCATGCAAATTCAACTGATCGAACGTCGATCCATATTCATCAGTCCTTTATCGTTTCGCTTAGCCTTCCTCCTCGCGTGAGACGCTCGGGGATTATAAAACGATGAGAGTGCCTATCTCGCAGGCTCGTTAGATCTAGGACAGTGTCATGCCTTTGACTTTAGAGCCTTCATAAATAACGTAAGAGGCGACGTTATGTTGTTTAGTGCGACGAAATAATGTATGAACTATAATCACGCATAAAGAACGGCAAGTAATGCGCCACGATTGGATTCGAGCGAGCGAGATTTAAATGCTCTTAAATGTCGTTGCGAGATGTCTTTTTACAAATTATTGAGGAAGATCTTTAAAGATACATTGCCTGTGTAGTCTTTGCAGAAAGTTACCAGAAATTAGTCAATACGTCAATATTTCCATTTTCCGTATAAAAACATACATATATACAGTGTGGTATATATACAGGGTGTTCATTTTCCATCATTTAGAGGCTCTGAGTAGGACTTCAGTTTTCATATGTATTAAATATATACTCATACTTTAAAATATACAAATGTTAAAAAATTTAGATCGAAAATAAGGCTAAAATCTCGGGATGTTTACTAGCACTTAAAAGTGAAATAAATTTCATCCACATAGAGAAAATAATCTGATTGAATTAACATATATATTTAATTCAGTAAGTTTTGGTGAAGATAAACAGACTTTCTATGTCATACAAACATATGAATATATGTTTTTATTGTCATAACCTAACTCTGGTTATTTTGATCAGAACACATGCAAACAAATTTGGTTACCTTAAGTAAAATTATGTTCATTTCTTATTAAACGGTTTGATTAATGTATTCTGAATTCTGATTAATTCTCAAGCAACTTTTTTTCGATGCAGGCTCTGAACTTATTGGTCAAATTGTATCACTTTTAGATACAATATAGATTATTAATCTATAATTCTCTTAAAATAATTCTTTATACATAATTTTTTAGATAAGGCCAATACACTCTTAAAACGATTAGGTCGCTAACGAATAGCTTGAGGTACAACATTTATTTCCGTCCACGATATGGAAATCTAGACTCTCGTGGAAATTATACCGGTTTCAAATCCTGGCATCCGGCCCGTTCTCCTTCACGAATAACGGGCATCTTGCATTCTTCGTTCGCGATCGATATTACGCAAAATGAAAAGTCGGTTGCGCCGCGAGGCGATCCACAATGGAAAAGTCAGTCGTCATTTGATCCGTATTCATCAGTGCCGGGCAATCTCGGGAGCTTCCCCTTTCGCCAGCTGGCCAACCCCGTCCTTCCGCATGTTCGTTCACGGAAACTTTTAATGTTCGAGGATTGTACGGAACTTGGCTCGGCGCTCGCGTCCCGTCGTAATTCATGTGCGAGAGCAAACATCCGGCGATCAGACGAGCCTTAGAACGGACGGATGAAACGCGCGCAACTCGTCACACGTGCGCCGCGGCCCCGCTCTTTGTCACACGTCAATGCGGAAATACTTCGCTACAACGGGTCGATGATATCGGTCATAAATGTCATCGGGTTATCATGGGCTCAACAGCAACGAGGCCCGCAAACGAGCTATCCTCGGCTGTGTCCTCGACGCTGCTGTCATCGCGGATGACCCTCGCGAAAAGTCAGAGCGCGCACGTATCATGATAACCGTTTTTTCACTGCCGGAGTTTATTTATTTGCAGCTTGAGAGATAGGAAATATTCCAAAAATTGACGATGCTTCTTCTTTTATTGTCACACACGTTTCGAAATAGAACGAGTTTCATGTACATACACTCGATCGCATAAATTACTTAGTAATAGTGACTACAAATTTTTGACTAGCTATTTTTAGTTACGTGTTTCTCATGCTTATTGATTAGTCCAAAAAAAAGAAAGACGTGTTTAAAGTAAAAGTGATATTATGACGACGTTTTGTATGGGTTAGTAGGAGTTCACATATAGGATAGACCGAAGCTATATTATTCCAGATATGTGTTACTCATGTGCTCTTTTTTAGTATTTATCTTGAGAATAATAGCAAGTGCACAAAATCGCGAAATGGTCCTTTTAAAATATAAATAGTTTATCCTGTGTTTCGGATTCAAATTTAAAATTAAAATCGGATTAATATTACAATTAAGAAATAGAAAAAAAATTTGTTTTTTAATAGCAAAGTAAATTTCCGAGCCTCACGAAATTTTGTATTATCCCAGACAACACAATGTCCAAAACTGCTACATAAGATGTCTTTAAGACACTTTTAAGATAACTTAAAGACGTCTTATGTCCCAGTTTTGGACATGTGTGCTATCTGAGATTCTCCATCGCGTCTGAATAAAATTGAGCGAAGTGTTACTAGCTAGAATGAAATTTCTTGTAAGTGTATGATATACTGTTTCTGGTAATAAATACAATTTTCATGCATAAAGTGATTGAAATAGAACATATGGGCGGGCGAGATAAAATTGATCCATAATTAAAGACCGGCAGGAAAGCTGTGGAGACCTCTCGTGGAAATTCTGGAACTACTACTCAGGATATATATTTTATACGTGGCCTTCTTTACGCGCTACTGAACAACTGAATCAGGCCAAGATGTTGTTGCATGTTCGTATTTTGGTTAGTACAAAACAAAATATATAGTTAGCAAACTCGTAGCGAATATTAATACATAGAAAAATCTCTATCATATTTATACAGTCAGTCACAACAATTAATTGCCTGGGAAGTTGTAACTCCGAAATTTTAAAATGTAGAGAATATCTAGCCCCGATCTCCCCTACTCACATAACTCCAGAGGAAAGCACACAACTTGTCGCGGTTACAGTTTAAAATCAGTTCATATAATGAATTGTAGAAGAACCTGGAGAATTATGGGGTCGCATCGATAACCTTTTTAACTGTCATATAATGAAATGTTTCGCAATTACTACATCTTAGATATCTTTTACTGCGCGTCATTATCAGGCATCATAATATTTTTCGTTGAAGATATTTTCCGATGCTAGATATTGTTTTATGTGTTTGACACGTTCTCCTACATTGAAATTTGTTTGATACCTTTACATAAGACAAATAATGATAAAATTCTGTTTTTACGTGCTGTGCATACAATTTACGTTGTTAATCCTCGTCATTTTTAATTGAATATGCAAATATCGCCTATGATGTTTTATATTATCTAATTCAAACTTATACATTTCGGAGCATAACGGCCGTTATATTCTTAAAATGTTAAGTTGCATTGTATCTTTTAATATATTGTATTTGAGAACATTGATACCAACATTTTCACCATACCAAACATTGATTGTCATTAATATCTTAATAATAGAAAGTTATAGCTTTATTGTTTTATAAGAAGTGTTGTCAATAAACAATTATAATTAATTAAACGTACAGTAGTATGCATTCTTACATATTGCGTGTTTTAATAAGTTACTTTTAGAAACTTTTGGAAATTAATGATTGAGGAATAAAAAAGTTTTGTGAGATATCCCATTTTACCCCGCGTAAAAAATATAATAAAATTAAGTGATGTCTTTAGAAAAATCCACAACAATTTCGTCTTTTTAACTATTCTTTCATAAAACTTATGTCTTCCTTATAGTGGACTTTTTAAAAAATGTCTTGGTACAATATAAAGTTGATTTATTTATTTCTAATATGTTTAAAACTTATTTGAACCTCTTACGACCCTCATTATGTTTCTATTATT